TTAAGTGTATGTCTGCAAACTGATGAAAGTTGATTAAAAAAGCTAGCAGGATCTAGCAAAAGTCTATGATGCGATATTAAAATTTTAAAGTTCTTAAAAGAACTTTGCCAGTGTTGGTTTGCGTTAAAACAATGATGAACTAAACATCAGCTCTTCTTATACAACTGATTAGTCAAGCATCGATATTCTATCGGGCCTAAAAGGTGCAGCGAAGTCAAATCTTTTGTGTCTGTTTTGACTATCACATATATATAGTTAAGCTCTCGCTTTCAAATGCATCTTAGGTAAGCCAGCCTTGGTGGTCTGTTCTTGACGTCCTGAATCTATATCTGATGGTTGTGATCTTTTCCTTGTAGTCATGTGACAACGAAGGGAGGGAAATAGTAGAAATACTAGTAGAAAAAGCAGCAATAACACTTAAAAAGTGGGAAAATCAGTACAACTGACAAAAAATGTGGCGCCACCCGTACTCAGGGGAAAGGACTACATAACAATCAGTGTGCAAAAGTCGAGTGGCGGTTTTAGGACTGGATGTGACGTAAAAAAGTGCAATTTTTAGTTAAAACATCCAATTACGTGTTTGCGGGTATCTCAGACATCAGGTCTGTCTGAACGGTTCATGCACACTATTTGTATGTTTCTTATTCAGGACGATTATCCTTCCATTGTCGTCTGTACATTTTAAGATTCTATACCATGCTAAAACGCTCCAGTCTTGCATGTCGTTCAAGAGAAGATTGACAAATCACTACATGGTCATTTCATGGTCAGACGGCACGTCGATCTACAGAGTAACACAAGGGCAGTACTATAGTAAACAKAGAAATGTTACCGGCTATTATTTATCATTCTTTTCGATTATCGCTGAGTCACACCCTAAGAAGCTCTAAGATTTACAACCTCTGGCTCTGATGAAAATYTGCGGTTTCCTCTCCGAGGCTGAGCACTTAAAGAAATCGAATCAGATCTATTCTTTTTTCTTATTAACGATCTACAGAACCACAAAGCGCAAGTATATGCTRAAGAAKGTGTTCTCAAATTAGCTAACTAATTTGCAAGGCTGTATGTACCTTACGTGTAAAGGCATTCCTTAAAGAACTATCGTTCTCTTAAATCGAAATTTTTCAATCTCTTTTCGAATTGAATTACATAATGGCTTTTTTTTCTATATCATATAAAACATACGCTTGGATATGCGCTCAGTTAATAATGACCTTTTATTATGTTATCATATTTTARTCCTGTTTTCCTAGTGATTCATGATTATGTAGTTATTTATTCGTGAAACGTGATATTGAAAAATATATAGGCAGTGCGGTGGCTTTCTAGGGGACTAACAGGCTAGACTAAATATAATAACATTTGAGATCAAAGTGTAAATGCGGTTCACATTCGTGACCAATGAGCAAGAGAAGTCTAAGACATTAGTGGTRTTTTATTTTGGGGAAGCTGGCATGAAGCTGGAGATAAATTGTCCGGCACTCGATTATTAATACACTGTATGACGCGGTGTTTAACGTATTTTAATGGAATTGCCATGCACTATATTCTTGTAAGTCATTCTTTCCGTTTGCGATTTGTAAAGTCTTAAAAACGACTTTTTTTTGTGATACACACTTTCCCGGATGTCGGTTCAGAAAGAACTGAGTTTCAAAACGTCTGGAAGAAAGTACGCTTTTAATTCTATATCATAAACATTGAGTGAAGAGTGAAAATCAGAAGTGTGAGATTTCCATGTTCGTGACCCTTTTGCAACATATATGAATTGCCTTCTGGACTGTTCTTTCMAAACTTGATTTCTTTATATTCGCGCTTTCTGTTCTTTTCTGTCAGAGCCATCCATATTATTGAGTAACAAATGCTTTTTGCCTTTTTTTTAAATTTATTTGCATTTTGAGACCATCATCTTTGACCCAGTGCAGTGCGAGACGCGAGACCCGCCTGTTAGTTGAGCCCACGATACTTTTCATTTTCTATGAGCCTGCCATGTAAATGTCAGCGGAYTGCCACGTGAGTGGTGATCGAATTTTGTGCGACTTTGAAACTGGAAAGAAAGTAGACATTTGCATGTCCCAGCCTTTTTCCTGTAGATATTTAGAGCAAGGACGACAAAACTTTCACCCAGGATTYCTTTAACGTTGCTCTAACTTTGTGTGAAATTACGATTGATCATGGCTTACCCTTCACCAGTTATCATCAGATCAACTGCACAGCACACAGCTACGGTAAGGTGTTAGAACTGTTGAAGTTCTCGTTATTAAATTTAACTGAAATGCCGTGTGAAATTAAAAGCGGAGTAGAAATTGTTTTTTTTTCATTGTGTCATGTGTATGAGTCGATGGAATCATTTTCCACAATGTGTGTGTAGTCAATATTTTGCACTCAAGCATATCCAACCATTCTAGTGCCTTATTTTTAGCGATTTTGTACGGTTTCAAGTTGTTATCCCAATTTAGTTCTAAATCACATYGAAAAATGTAAATTGTACGACGTTATGAAGAACCTAGGAAAAAGATCCTCAATTATTAACCTCTGTGTTAAAAAACRCTTGCAACTTGTGTATTAGTCCTTTTTGTAGAATTATGAAACACAGGATGGTGCTAACTTTAAGCCTTTTTAATGCTTCCCCTTGGACGTTAATGCAAATTAGTCCCAAAACGCTGGCTTTATTCTGATTTTATGTGATTTAATATTGTAAATAAAGCGAATATGAAAACATAATGTCCACTACAACCAGCTAAACCTGTCGCCACTTCAAATTTTCGTTTAAATAAAGTTATTATATTGTAAACACATACATTCACACAGTACGCTGGCCATGCATCGAGTAAAAAAGGTCAATATTGCTTTTCTAAAGAAGCTTTTCTCGATCGACAATTKAGAAGTGTCAGCTTTTRCTGAGMCTTYAATTTTCCTTTCTTTCATTATTGTCAAATATCTCCTTTTGTAAGGATCTTGATATCTGTATTTCTTGGTTGGCCTTGGTTGGCTCATTATATGCAAATATTTCGTTTATCTTTCCACTCGGCTATATAGAACCCCCATTGTTCATATTTGTGACAAAAATGAAAAAAGTCGAATTAGATTTGAAAAACAAATGATGAAGTAAATGCTGGGGAAATGACATGGTGCATGAAGGAAATCCTCTTGAGGCAGAAAAACAAGTTAATTTGTTTGTTTTCTTTAGTTGGTGATGGTCCAAGATTTACTTCATTATCCATTTTGCATATTTTAGTTGTCTTCTCATTTATTGAGCTTTCATGTTGAAAAATTCATGGCAGTACATAAAAAGTATATAATATATTTACATAATGTATTTTTCTACAAAAGCTGGAAACATTTTGTAATCTTGCATTGACCTTATTTCAAGGATTGATTAGAAAGTGCTGCTCAAAAACAGCTGTCTGTTTTGAACCTATTTATGAAAATATGCACTCATATGTGCTAATTGATAAAAAAGTTTTTTTTGTTTTTTCCTTGGAGATAATACACAAATGCTTTATTAAGCTAAAATAACAAAAAAAAAAAAAAATACTCTGGCTGTTGTATATAATTATTTTCTGCCTCAGATGTATACCTTAAATTATTTGAAAGATGCTCTTTGCATGCTGTACAATGAACAGTAATTTTTCAAATTTAAATTCCTATGTGAGGTGTCAAACCTTTTAGGATTTCCTTCTTCCTAAATTATAAAGAATAATCTGGTTTACGTCAAAAAAACTGTCAACTCTAGATGATTAGTCTGTCAAATGCCATAAATGTACCATTGCACATGGAAAAATATGGACATCTAATTTGTCAATGATGGAAACTTGATAATTTTGAATGTTTTTATCTTTTACAAGACTTGGCCACCTGATCTATTCTATCAAACATTGAACATTAAAGCATTCTGAAATCAGATAATTTTCTATAAAATCTGAGCTCTACATACAATGAAAGTAATGAAGAATGCTTATTTCTGATGAGTGTTTTAGGAATTTCAGGCTGATAGAACCATGCCTGCTTGAATTGTAGGTTTCCATTTTAATCAATCAGGATCAAGTTTGCTTTTAGCCAGTAATTAATGTATTACGAGTGTTGAATGTCAAAAAACCCTTAAGTCTTTAATTGCTCGGACTATTGTAATTTGCATTCAATAAATGCTGACATGTATTATTTTGATTTTTTGTCATCAGGTAATATTTCTTCATGGTCTTGGCGATACAGGGTAACTATTCACAATCGTCAGAGTTTTGGTTTTATAATGCAAAAAATTGTAGTTCGAGAATCATGCTTTAAATGGCTCAGTAAAATTTACAGAAAGCATTTTTTTTAATTAATTTTAATACTTACAGTACAATTTCTACCATTTAGGAAAGATTTTATTTCAACCCACTGATACTACCAGTTCTTTTAAATGGCAAATCAAACATTTTAAAAGCGAAGTTAATTTGATGTGAAATATGTTGAATCTAGCTGAAAACAAAATATGACAAAATGATGTAATAGTAGATCAAACTATTTTCCTTTCAAAATACAACATTTCCTGATATTATTTTGTCTAATTGAATTTTTTTGTTTTAAACAGACATGGATGGAGCCAAGCATTTGAAATGATAAAATCACCGCATGTAAAGTACATATGTCCGACAGCGTAAGTTTATCTTTTAGACTAGGATTACACTGGATATTGTGATTTTTGACAGTAAAAAAAAATATGACTTTTTCTTTCTAGAAAAACAATGAGGGTAACACTGAATGCAGGGATGGCAATGCCAGCTTGGTAACTATATAGTTTTATGGATAACATTAACCAGTCCATTAGAGTGAAAACAATAAATAAGTAAATAGATTTTAAGGTCAAGGGCAGTATGTTTTTTTGTGCAGAGTCTTGGGTCTGGAACTGTAAAGTGTGTTGTCTAATAGCTTTATTACTGCAATGCTATTTGATGTCCCTGAAGCAAATAGTACAAACAACATGATAATTGTTCAAAGTTAAAAGCTAGTTTGTGTTTCCTTGTGTTGTCTAAGAGTAAGTACTGAACATTAATTTAACCCATGATGAAACCAAAAAAAACAAAACCGATAAAGTTTGCAGCTATACTATACAGTAGTCTACTATCATATACTCTAACTTATACTTTAGTAGTTGTTTTTTGGATGGTGCACTTGAAATACTGATTTTATCATACTTACATGTTTGGTTTACTTATTTCTGGGCTTCTTTGTTTGTTTATTTGATAAATCATGGATTTTCCCTTCATGTTACAGGTTTGATATTAAGTCTTTAGCAATGAACACTGCCGAGGATCACGTAGAAATCAAAGCAAGTTCTGCTTATGGTAAATTTTGCTCTTGATTTATTGATCACACATCAAAAACAAAAGTTAAATTAATTGATTTATCCATTATTCATTTATTTGTCATTCATTTATTTGTTTAGATAATTCATTTATTCATGTTTTCACTCATCAACTTATCCCATTCGCTTGTTCATTCATCCACTTATTTGTTCATTTATTTGATGTCCTTTTCCATTCATTCAAACCTCAGTTTATTCAATAATTTTCTCATTTATCAATGTTTTTATCAATTTTTTGCATTAACTTGTATCTGAGTACAGAGACAAAAAGAAAGAATTTCAAAAAGAAACTTTGCACATTAACTTCAATTCAATTTTTTATTCATTTTATTTTTTTTTATTTCTTTATTTACTTCTTGTTTTTACAGTTCAGTCTCTTATTGAAGAAGAAATAAAAAATGGAATTGAACCAAATAGAATTGTTGTAGGTAAGGCTAGATATTCATTTACATCATTCATAGTACATTTTCATCTTTTTTTTTTTTTTTTTTTTTTTGCTACCATCATGTTTCACCTTTTGATGCTCTATCCTTTAAACAGGGGGATTTTCACAAGGGGGAGCAATAGGTTTGTACTCTGCTTTAACGTCATCAAAAACACTGGCAGGAATATTAGCCTTAAGTACTTGGCTTCCCCTTAATGGTTCATTTCCTGGAGTAAGTCTCATCAAGCAATGATCCYAAAKATTATAAAAAGTTGTTTATTCTGTGTTAAATGTTCCAAGCTGTTGTATTTGCAACCCATCAAAATAGCTAGAATTTGACTTGGAAGAAACAACTTATTGATTGTTGATTGTTGTGGTTTATCATTGAATAGAGAGAGATGTAGAGAATAAAGGGATGAAAGGTCTTGATAACAGTTAATAATGTCCTTTCATTTAGCAAGGTGGCCTTTTTTAGAAYATCTCAAGTGTTTTATTMCACTGATAAACCATGGAAAAACCCTTTTTGCTGTATTATAGCTTGCGTAGGATTGGGGAGGGCCGTCGGCTAATGTATTATAGAGTACTGTTTTGAAAACATTGTGTTTTTTGATGTCATCAAAATGTTGTACTTTTATGAACAGTCTTGGACCAGTCAGTTTGCATAATATATTGATTGCATTAAATAAAAAAATCATATATTTGTAATCTTTCAGGCCTTAAAAGGAAATTCTTCAACCCCAATTTTACAATGCCATGGTAGGTCAATAGTAATTCTGTGTCTCRACATTGTTACACTCGGGCTACATGATTGTACTTGACTTTCAAATAATATGTGAATTTTTCAACTAAAGCCATCAGTCAGATTTACCTATCTCCTTTCTCCAACACTGCTACTAATCAAAACTGTGGGCATTGATATGGCTGCTGGTACCAAAGCACAAGTTGATTGACAGCAGTTTATCTAATTCAAATTTGAAGTCACGTAGAGACATGAAGCAAGAAGAGAGAGAATAGGCAATGTGCAGTGATGCCATTTTGTTTTGCAAAGCATGATGGTAGTTGCAGTCTTTGTACTAAAATGTCCACTAAGACAAGGCTCCTAAACATTTAAATATTTTCTTTTAATTATAGGCAAGAGTAGAAGTTGTTGTACTATTTCTACAAAGAAAAAAAAACCCGGCTTTTAGGGAGATATTTTAGGGCCTATAAGTGTGAGGACTACAATACTACCATCATGCTTTGCAACACAAAATTGTGTTGCTACATACATATTCAAACATATTCAAATTTATCTATATCACATATTAAGCATTTCTTTTTCCAATTTTCAGGTAAAATCGATCCTGTTGTCAACTTTACWTAYGGTGAAATGACAGCTGCTGTTCTATCAAAGATGTGCTCAAAACACACTTTCATGAAATACTCTGATTTAGGACACTCATCTAGTCCCAAGGTAATGTTTCGAATTCTCTTTTGTGGCAGCTTAGCWTCAAAGCATAAATTGCTTATTGTCTTCTTTGCACACAGAGTGTTTGTATTTACAATATATTCTTTGCTGAATAAAAGAATATATTACATGCTTTCGAGGTTAAGACTGCACAAAAAGATCTCGAAACTGGAGTATTAAAATATTAGCAAGGTGTTAATGAGAAGCTGGTATCTATATTGGCTATTTCCACTTTTAATGAAATCCCTGTATTACGATTCACCAAAATATGGGTTATAACAAACTTAGCATCTATAAATGATAGGCCATAATCTCATTTAGAAACCCAAAAATTGTAAAAATCGATAAGAAAATTTGTTTGATTTTTAATGTCCTTTTATGTAGGAAATGGAAGATGTCAAAAACTGGCTAAATAATGTAATACCGACCCGCTAACAAACAGAAGAATGTAATATTTCTCCAAAATACAGTGTGCTCTTGTTAGCTGATGAAGAAATTGATTGCTGAAAACGTTTTATTTGTTTTAATTTCTCAATCAAGCCGAGGGAAAATCGAGAGAAGTGAATCTAATAAGGTGTATAGATAGGGAGAACAATGATGTATAATTATAGTTTATTTGTATGTTGGTGGAAAAGTTTCAGAGAGAAACTATATTATACAATGTATAATGCTAGTTAGACCAGTAATGCTTCTTAATTAGACCAGGATGCAGTTGTATGGGAGACAAAATAACCAGGCCCAGGTTTACAAAAGGTGAAAAAAGTGCAATACATTTTCAAGCTGTTTCAGAAAGACCATTTGAGTTTGCCATGCACAATGATAATCTTGTTCACTTTACATGTCAAAAATGGATGCAAGATGGAGTCTAAATAGTATTGTCCACCCAATGTTCAATACTCTGTTTTCAAAAATTTACACTGTAATCCAAAAAAGCTTGAAGATGAAGCCTTCTAGGAATACAGGGTTATAGTCGCAGCTCAGGGAAATAACAACAGTTTTCATTTGGCTGCACGCAGGCTTTGTGCTCTCTATTGTGTTTGGCAAGGTCTTTGCACAAGAGAATCCCTTGTGAAAGAGYGGTTATTCACTTTAAATTTGAAAATGGAGTGTTGTTGCTTCCATGCAAATGAATATATGAAATGATTGCTATTTTATGTTATACGTACTGCAAATAAATATGATCTACCAAAATTGTGAATAAACAATCGATGTAAATGCAAGAGGCATGTTTCTCTATTTGAAGTCAGCTTTATTGTATTTTGMTTTGTGTTAATGGAAATGTGTTGGTGGCTGGTTTCAATAGCAGATCCAGGAGCAAAAGAATTAGATTCCTATATCCCTGATTGATYGATTGATCGATCGATCGGCCAATTGATTGATTGATTGGCAAATTGATTGATTGATTGTAAGATGATCAATCCACGACTAACATAAAGTTAACACACTTTATTCTAAAAAATCCTGAAAAAGGTATACCAAGCACTAGACTTGAATTTTTGATTTCTTAAAATATACAAGAAWTTRAAAAAATATAAAAATATATTATTACAAATGACTTTCCACTAGAATAGGTGTGGCATTCAATTATGGAAGTGATATCTCTATTTTCCTGATTTCATACTTTTTAAAAGATTCATCGTGTCCCAATAAGCAGAGCCAAGATAATTACTAGAATCAAACTCCAGTTGTCTGATTTTTGTCAGTGGAGGAGTGTCAAAAGGTGCTGTTTTTGTCAGAATATCTGATTCAGGTTTCTTCTTTACATCCCATTCAATGACCTGCATGGAGATTTTTCATGATAAGTTACATGTATATGAATTATTACGAAAAGTATGAACCACCACAACATTCGAGTCGAAAAATTAAAGGACATAGGAATTGCACATTAATGCACCCTCGTGTAAAGGAAACGCCCACTTATATTTCTCCCCTCTACTTTCCGAGTTTCTAATTTTTCTTCTTTTTTTGATCAACAAACGCTACAGAATGTGAAATAGACTTGCTTTCCTTTTTTTWATTAAATATCGGAAACTATTAAACACTGRCTACTAGCTATTGTTTCACTGTCTTCACGTCCTACGAAGACCTCTCATGGGGCATGGGGCAGTGCCCTCATGTCACCTTAACAGTATAGTAACCTTACCTGGTAACTCTTCAGTCCAACGTAGCCACTATCACCATCTTTYCCATTACTGAACGTCAAAGGAGCAACACTTGACTCTAAAGMTTGAGATGCAGTTATCTCAGTTTCGTTACTTTGAGGGACATGGAGGTGGCCAGAAGACCCGTTGATTGAGGGTACCCTTTGTAAACTCTGCAAGCTTTGGTCTGACACCATTAGAGCTTCACTTTTGGACTTTACTTCAGAAATCATTTTCTCTTTTTTAAGGAGTTCAACTTCCTTCGCTAACAAGTCATTCTTTAGCTGCTTCTCACAGCCTTCGAGCTCATCAACCTTGGTTTGCAGTCGTTTTGCTTGCGACAAAAGAAACTCATTTTGGCTTTTCAACTGATCGTTTTCATGCTCGATTTTTTGACAAGTTGATTTCTGCTCTTCGAGTTCAAACTGCGAGCTTTTGCTTAGAGCGTCAAAGGAATGTCTCTCGCCCTCGATTTGGCTAAGCTGCAACTCTGTCGTCTCAAGCTTTTCTTTTAAGGTACTGTTTTCTTGTTGAAAATTCTCGTTGTCGCTAGAAAGCTTCAGAGAAACTTGCCTTAGTTGATCAGCTTTTTCARTGAGTTCATCCACAGTTTTCTTTAGAGATTCGGTTTCAAGGTAAAGAACCTGATTTTGCTTGATTAGGACGTTGTTTGCACGTTTCATAGCTTGAATGTCAYTTTTAAATTCACTTAAGCCTTGCTTGGAACCTTTTAACTCTTCCTCTAGCATTGCGTTTCTTTTTATTGAGTTTGATAGCTGACTCTTCGTGGTCTCTAGCTCTTCTGGTTCAATGAGACTTGTCTGCAGACCCATCTCAACTCGAGGGCTCAGTAAGATTTCTTCTAACTTACTGTGATCTTTSTGCCATTTTTGAGTCACMGTCTTTAATTTATCCTTAGTTTTTTGGTATTTTTCTTGCGTTTTCTGGAGTTCTTGTTTAGAGTTCTCAACAGCACCAAGAAGTTTTTCTTTGTGCATCTCTGCCTGGGTAAGCGAACGGTTAAGTTTGTGAACTTGCTCCATGTCGTCCATTGCCATTTTCTTGCTRCGATTCAAGAGATYGTCATTGTCTTTATTCACTTTGGACAGCTCAGCTTTCATTTCTCTTAGCTTTGTTTCTAACTTGATGGTTTCTTGTTCCATTGCTTCATTCTTTGATTTTAGCTCGTTTGTTTCTGCCTTCAGCACAACGTTTTCTCGATCAAATTCATCRTTTTTAGTTTCCAAATCTGTAAGTTTACCAATGTGTCTTTGGGTATCTCGTATTGTTTGCTCGTGGTTTGCCTGTTCCTTTTCCAGCATTGCACTCAAMGTCTTCACTTCATCGTCTCTCTTCTTTAGCTCATTTTCAAACTGCTCAATCTTTTCTTTATAYGAATTCCTCTCAGAATCGACCATAGCAGCAAGGCTTTCGATTTCAGCTGTCTTGGTTCGACCTTCCTTCTTGAATTTCTCTATCTGTCGGGAGAACTTTTCTTTYTTGGTTGTGAGCTCTGAGCGAAGRGAGCGATTTTCATCTTGCAATTTCTGGACCTCATCGATCAGATCCTGAACGCGATTGCTGTTTGACTCGGATTGTTTCAGCTGTTGGACTAAAAACTCTGTTTCTTTCGCTTTTCGTTCGTGTTCTGATCGTTCGTCTTCAAGATTTGACTTAGCACTCTGCAGTCTATCTCTTAAACTATCTACCTCTTCCTCGAGATTGGAAACTTTCTGTCGACTTTCCTCAGCTTGCTTGATAGTTTCCGAGACGTGTTTGGCATCTTGCTGCAACARCTGCTGTCCAAGGCCATCTAATTCTCTGCGTAAATCATCAACYTCAATGATAAGCTTCTGATTCTGTTCATTAACATTCTCAAGCTCGCTTCTYACGGTTTCGACTTGGCTATCGCATTCTTGTTTAATCTGAGCTTCGCGGTCAGCACTTTTATAAGCAGATTGCTCAGCTCCGCTTTCGTACTTTTTTCTTATCTTTTCAATTTCTAAATCGCGATTTTGCARCACCTTTTGGTACCTGTCCTCTAGATTTTGCACCATTGTCCTTTCGTTCTCAAGGTTCTCACGTAAGACGTTCATCTCCGATGTGAACGACTCGAGTCTACTGCTTTTCGACGTTAGCTCGTGATTTGCTTTGGTMAGTTGTTTCTGCAATTCTTCTATCTTAYTTTCAAATTCTTCCACAATTGCTTTCATGCTTTGGTCATGTTTCAATTCCTCGGTAGCCTCTGGAGCTTCGTTGCCAATCATCTCGACGCTTTCGGCGCAAATGTCAAAATTTTCATTCGCAATGATATGAGAATCTGATTTGGAAGAAGCTCGTAAGTCATTCACTTCRTCTCGTAATTGCTGCACTTCACTTTCCAGTAGCTCACTTTCATATTTAAGCTCGCCATTGGACCTTTCCAAATTAGATATCTTTTCATTGTATTCATTCCTTTGTTCACCGATTTCTTGGTCTTTTTCTTGTCGTAGTTTTTCCATTTCATTTTCGAATCTTTCAATTTCTTTTTCAAGTCGCTGCTGTGCGTTTTCCTTGTCTTTTTCYAATTGAGATGACTGCTGTGTTAATTCMGAAATTCGACTTTCCAAAATGACAATTTCCGAGTCTTTTTCTTTCTTGAAACCATCTACTTCCGTTTGCAGCTTCAAGTTCACCCCGCGGATTTCATCCAATTCATTCTGAAGTTTTTCATTCGATGATTTACTCTCGCTAAGCTCTTTCATGAGTTCATCTTGGTTATTACTACCAAGTTCCAGTTCTTTCACAAGCGCTTCGAGTTTTGTTACTTTCTCTAAATGTTCTAAAGATGTCTTTTCCTTCATTTTCAGCGTCGCTATCTCACTGTCCAGAGAAGATATAATTGTCTGCGCTTTTTTTAACTCTGATGTAAGGTGCTGCACATGCTCTTCATTTTGGGTTTTAAGCTTTCCTAAACTTTCCACAAGTTCTCGAGAGTTCCTTCTTCGGTCATGACCTCCCTTTACTTTAAGTTTCGTCGTCTCAAGTTCACCCTCTAAATCGTTCACCACGAGGTCGTATTCAGTTTGTAATTCTTCGTGTTCTAGCTGCAAACTTTCTAGTGTTTCTTGGAGATTTTCGATCTCATTATCGTATTTCATCCTCATTTCTTCTAGTTCTTTTTGGTGCATGTCATTCTGTTGGTCTAAAGCGGCTTTTATGGCGTTCCCTTCTTCACTGGATCCAGCAAGTTGTGCTTCATAGTTCTTCTTAAGTTCTGCTATTTCTTGTTTATGTGCTTTTTGTTTTTCKTGTAAAGCTTGTTCGTGTTCATCGACTAARTTTTCTAATTCATACTTGTGCTCCTCCTTTAATTCCCATCTCACTTTTTCTTCTCTTTCTTTCATTTCTTGTTCCATGTCAGTTATGTTATTTTCTAACATTTCTCGAGCTTCTGTAAAGTCCAAACGTTCCTTCTTCAGTTCTGCCTTTAGGCTGCGAATTTCGTGCTCACATGCTTCTAGTTGTCTCTTTACCTGGAGTTCATTCTCCGAGCTTCTGCTTGTATCCTTCTCACTTTCTGACTTTTGCTCAAGATTAATTCTCTGGATTTCGTTTTCATGGTGGATCTTCAAACTTTCGATGTCTTCCTTATGTTGTTGTTGAAGTTTCTCTAAATCTGCWACATTTTTGTCAGAGCTCTGTGCCAATTCCTCTTCTAATGTTTTGATCCTTTCCTCACACTCTTTCCGMAAGGCTATTTCTTTCTCTTTTATTGAATTCTCTTCGTTTAATTYTAATTTAAGCTTCTCTACGTCTGCACCATGTTGCTCCATCAACGTTTTGWTATATACTTCATGTTCTTTACGAGTGTCTTCTAAAGAGTCATCAACATTTTTGTCTTTATTACTTTCATAAAAGGCTTTCATATTTGATAATTCAGCTTGATGTTCYGCTGCAATAACTTCAATTTGCCGTTGGTATTGTCGTTTTGTTTCATTCAATTCAAGAAGCTCAAATTCCTGTTGTTCCAATTTCTCCGTAGCATCGTGAGTTTTAGTGATTTGCTCTTGCAGCTGATCTTTCAAATATTGAATCTCACTTTCATAATTATCCTTMAGACGRT